ACATGAAAATCATATAAAATGTTTGACTTTAAACAAAATTTGGGTAGACTTGAGGATCTTAGGCTACCAAGATAGTAGATGCCATCAATATTTATCGATGGATGATTAGAATTTGCCAATAATGGTGCTCATTAGGTCATCCGTGAGACGATTCAATGTATTTATATTTAATGTTTTAAAAATAGAATAATATATAAATAAGAAAACATTTTGTAGTCGTTAAATCACAAAAATCCTAATATATTTTTTTAAAAGGCAGATTCTTTGGTGGATTCACCCCTTATATTGACCAAGAAAGAAAAATCACAAACATCAAACATACTTAAGGTTAATGATGTAACTCGTAAGGCTAAAGATATAGCACCTTTATTCGTCATTTTATGCCTACATTATGGTGTGGTGCCATCCAATACCTCTAACATTCTGCATGCTTTATTTAAAAAAAATAAACATTTCATAACATTTATAAAATAAAACCATAACATTAAATTTAAAGACGGCTACTTAAAAGGATGTCTCGAACAATTTTCCTAAAAACAATTTTTTTGAAAGTATTTTTAACCCTTCCAACGGCCAACTGAAAAGTTTTGCCTACAACAATTTCAGTTTAAAAAATATGCCGTTCACCATTGTCTATGAAAATAGCCGCCGGTGGACGATGTTTGCCACCAACAATTCCATCCACATCGTATACCGCCGGGAATTTTACCCTCCACACAGTTTAGCCACAAATTGCATTTTTAGACTAAAAATGCTGCTTTTTATAACGACAATATGTTTTGTCGTTTTCTATAATTTACTAATATATATATATAATGAAAGCTTCGAAATAAGAGAGGCGTGGCTTAGGTTATTGGCCCAAAAAATCTATGCACTGATTGGTGTTTCTCTTCTGGAAGTGGTGTCATGGAAACCAATGCTTTTTTTTAAACTTTATATAGAAAAAATACTAGCAAAGATACCCTTTACAAGAAAAACAAAAAAGAGACTCAAACACTTAAAAGTCATTATGAAATAATGTCATAATGCCACAATAATATAGTAAATTTAATGCCACTTCATAATTTTTTAACTCCAATATTGTTATAAACTAACCATTGTAATTCTAAAAATACAAAAATTATTAAACTAGGTTAATTTTTTAAGTTTTTTCATTGGTTAGTAGCAAACTAAATTACAAATGCAGTTATGTAAAAAAAAAAAAAAAAAAAATTAACCCCTCGAATAGTTCACCACGACAGAGAAGTGCAAGGAGTTCCCGAAGAAGAAGACGACGAAGCTCCATTGTTGCTATTCAAATCGCCACCACGACCAGCGTCATCATCTTTAACCGACGCCACCGACTTCACCTCAGCGGGAAGCTTCTTCATCGGCGTTATCGGCGGCGTCACCACCACCTTTAAAGACGTTATTTCATCCCGTTCATCATCACCAGACGACCCCTCTGACTCCAGCCGCGAAGGCGACGTGTCCGGCGTCTCAAATGGAGTATTCCCCGCCTTGCTCCGCCGTCCATTCTCATCATCAAACATAGGGTTCGAAATATAAACCAAATCCTTCTCTACACGACCGGAGTTCCCAGAACAAGCTTTCCGAATATACCCATCTTGGTTATTTTCTTGATTTTCCGGCGGTTGAGGTAGCTCTTGCTGCTTCTCTAAGTCGTCGCCGGCGAGTGAAGGGTAAAGGATGCTTCTTGGAGCTGCAAGGACCCCTTGTGAGTAGATATCGCTTAACGATGGAAGAGCAGAACTAGGAGGAGGAGAAGATGAGTTGTTGTTGTTGTTGTCTACTATGGTTAGAGGTGCGGTGGTGGTGGTTTGTTGAAGTTGACGGCGGCGGAGGAGGATGGAGCAGTAGAGCTCAGCTAATAGAACCAGCACCAAACCAAGAACCACAGCAAGACAGACCACAAGCACCAGGGTTAACCCCATCATCAAATTGGATGCACCCATCATCATTTTTCACACTCTATGTGAAAGAATGTGAGAATGGGGAATATCACCACTGACTACTGTGGTAATAAATGGCAGACTCAAGGTTTTGGCGGGAAAATGGTGGTGGGGTGAACCCAGAGAAGGAATCTTGATTCTTTTAAGGTTACGGGGATTGTTGAGGCGAATACAATTGGATTATTCAGACGTTTTTGTGAAAATTTCATGATGATATCTTATAAGTTATAAGAAAGAAGAAATTTGTGTAGATTGTACAAAAATAACAAAATGAACATTTTGTATGAATCACGATTTAAGAAGCATAATCATAACCTATTGACATAACGTTACGTACTAAAACTTAATAAAGAAATGTGAAGGGTGTACCCTTTTGACAACGAAGGTCAAAATGGTCATTTCACTTGAACAGGTTTTTGTCGTTTGATGACTTTGAACTCTTTGGTGGGGAAATTTCTTTGATTCGTTGCATGAACCCAAAATATATTGTCATATTGATGTCACGAGACTTGTGAAAATCACAAAAAAAAGTACGTGAAACCCTTTTCATTAAGAAGGTCAAAATGGTCATTACAATTGGGAGTGGTTTTATCTGTCGATCTTTGATTCTTTGTGGTAAAGGCACTAACTACTTTCCCGAAAAAGAAATTTCAACCTAAAGTTAATTTAAAGGAGAAGATTTAAATGAATCTATAAGATATGAATATCACTTTATACAACAAAAATAAGAAATGTAAAGGGTATTGATCTTTCCACAAAGAATGTCAAAATGGTTATTTCACTTGGAATGATCTTGACAATAATCTTTTTAGTGGCAAAAACATTAATCTTGTTTTGAAAAGAAGAATTCCCTTCTCCTAAATCAATATGGTTATTTCATTTGAATACCTTCTCTAGAAATTAGAGACTCTAGTATTAATTCACCACGTAAACAAAATTGAGTAGGCCCATATATATATATGAGTTTAGGACCATATACCCTAGATAAGATATATTGGTTGGGCAGTAGTGGATCAAGTAGGACCTCGTGGCTGATGACATGATGAACATGTTCTTAGTTTTCGAACATGATAAAAACACAGTATCCATGGAAAATAGGTTTTCTACTAGGTTCATATACTTAATGGTGCACTACGAAGGCTGTCCAATAGAAATCCATATAACAAAAGTTAAAGAAAATAAAAAACGAACACGAAAAAGATGTTTGGAAAAAATCATCATGAGAATTAAGAACATGTTTTTGGTGTTCAAAAGTGTTTTTTCTAGCAATTTCGTTGACCATATGTATTTATAATACGTTTTACATGAATAAATAGATGAAAACTTACCTCACTATCATTAATCCAAGATTTTTTGATCTCTATTGTAGAAGATGTGAGTTTTGGGAATTGGGATAGGTCTCGAAAACTTTTTTTTTTGGGGAAAATATAAAATAAAAATTCAAGGATTATATATCGAGAACCACTATGTTTTAGTTCTCACATTCGAAATTTAAAAATTTTCGAACACTATCGTTAAAAGTAGAAATTGAATGTGTTAAAAAAAATATGTTCATTTGAAGAATACCAATAAAAATATATTTCAAATTTTATATAAAAGAGAGATTTTACATGAATCCAAATGATATGAGATATCATGATATCATGTAAAAAGAAAGAAAAAGTAAAAAATGTAAAGATACTCTTATGATCAAAGGTCAAAACGGTCATTGCAATTGGAAGTGGTTTTGTAACTTTTATCGTTGAATCCCTCCCTGTCGTAAAAAGCAGTTCCTGAAAAAGGATTGAAGAACAGGGCCAATTCAGTTATCTTGGGACCAACCCGAACAGTATTGGTACAGTACTAGTATGCATTATTACAGTGCAACGTTTTTATTTATTTAAATAATTATGCATATGTACATTATCACATCACCTAATACTGTTCAATTTTTGCAATTCAACCTTTTAATGATTAGTTTTTCTTATAATATTTGACAAAATCCTTTATTTATTTTGTTATGTCTTCCTTAGGAATTGCTCCTATATTATGGTCATGTTTTTATGCTTGTTATTTGATTAAAAAAAACATAGAAAAACTTGCTGTACTTCTCACATGATGATTTGCCATAAAAAGTATTATATTTAATGCAATAAATTATTATATTCACGAAAATAGAGTAAGTTTAATTTTACAAAATTTAATTAACGTATTTTATTTAGAATTTAGTTCCACTTATCCGTTCTGTAGCAGGTATATTCATAAGAAAAAAAAAATCGTAATACAAAGTGAAGCGTTACTTTGAGGAATATTTCAAAATTTACTTTTGGTATAAAAACAAGAAAAAATGTCTAAAAGTTGTCTCCAACAGAGGAACCGATTTTAGAAAGTACAAATTTTGTTAAAAATATTTAGCATTACGCAAATTTGCAATGGAAAAAACTGAAAATATTGTAATTTTAATTTACATCCTATTTTTAACATTTTTGTGATTTTTTAACTAAAAACCAAAATATATTATTTTTCTAAAAAAATAAAATACATAAAAACCATTATATTTTAATTATTTTTTTGGGTTAACAATGATATTTCAATGTCAATACAGTGAGGATTGACCAAAAAAATGTATGGACCACCTTTCTTTGTTATGATTAGTTTTAACAAATTAAAATTGCAACAATAGAAAATTATATCAAATTTTAGTTATTTTAGAGATTTATTTATCGTTAAAATTTTCAATAATACCACTACACTTACTTCATACACCTAAAAGTTATTATTATATAAAAATCTTCCTATTCTAATAAAAAAAAATTAGTTTTATTATCTTTTTTTTTTTCATGTTTCATCCTATTATACATCTTAATTAATGGTATGTTACTTGTCAACCTATTGATTCCACATTTTAAATTTCTTACTCTAGTTATATTAAATTAATAATATTACACATCAATTATAATTTTATATAACTAAAAAAATATATCTTAATTAATAATTTATTTAAAATAATTGATTAATAAAAGTTTTTACTAACAAATTCATAGAGATTCATTATTCATTGTAAAATACATGTACTTCATATTGAATCTTTGCATAAGACACTTTAAAATAACACATTTTCGTCTCATTTATCCATTCCACACTATATCCAATACAACATATAACATATATCCTTTAACCATTCAGCACTTTATCATCTTTATTATCCAGTATCAGAGAAAAAAATACAGAAAGAGGTCTCACTCAACTATAGCTCTCATTAAATACTCTAACTTCATTTATAAGTCCTCAATATCATCATCAAAATTCTCCCTAAATGTTTAACAAAATGAGTGACTAGGGATTTTCTGGTTCTTGTTTATCGGGATCCTCTTCCTCTTCTTTGTTATCTTCATCTTCCTCTTCTTCATCTTCTGGTGGAGGGTCATATGGTGATGGGGGTGGTAATGGTGTTTTCATCGGACTGAATTGAGGAAATATATCCGGCCTTCTACCTGGTTTAGGTCTCTCCCATTCCTACCACATACCACAAATTCCTCAATCATTTCCACTTTTGACACAATAAATAACACTGTAAACAAATTGACATCACCCTCCAACCATGTCAAGATCTGGACTTTGTGAGAGAGTTGACTATGCACTAAAAAGACCCTAAAACCTGATTTCAACTCTAGATGATGAAGTCATGAAAAATGTATGAATACCACTCTAGTCTAATATTGATCTGACACTCGGTTTACAAGTCAATTAGAAGAGGATAAAGATTTCAAGTAGTTATCTTACAGATGCAAAATTCCCCAATATCATAATAGATGGGACAGAATTTGATGATTTGCTCTATAATTAGCAAAACAGTTAGGTTTACTAATCAACAAATTAATCAACCGAAGAGCTTACCACATATATTAGGTAGAACATAGCATCAGTTACTTAGAACCCTAGCGACCCGATTGAAAATTTCTACATAAATTACGAACAGAGAAGAAAAGTAGAGACTTACGACAGGAAAATCGAGAGGGTTACGGCGAGTCAATTTCTCTTCGTCGGGGGCCATACAAACAATCATTGCAGTCGATCCCGCCTTCATCCTCCGACCAAGCGAGCGTCTTGGAAACGTCGTAACCAATGACGGATATGAAGATGAAGGAGAAGTGAACGACGATGAAAACAATCTGGAGGTCACTACAACTAGTGATGGTGGAGACGGTGGTTTCGAAATCATAGAGGGTGAGAAAGGATGCACGAAGGTGCAAATCGCCGCCATATCTTGTCGGTATCTAAGGGTTTTTGTGTTGAACCAGCCGGAGATAGCAGCGCCAGGCTACTTGCCACCACCGACTTTGAATCTCACCTAAATCCTAATTCTACATTTTTAGTGACTCGCACAACAAAATTGACAAAATATAGGGATAATTACGAAAATAGATTAAATTTTACCCTTTTCTCGAATTTATTTTATAGATTTTAGCCATATTACTTTGTTTTTTTAGTTGTTTTTAAGAAGAAAAGTGGACGAAAGTGAAAATAAAAGAGAATAAATATATTTTTTTAGTTTTTTAGTAGAAAAAAGTGGAAGAGTAAACACAATTATTGATAACATTTGTTTTTAATCCAAGACTGTTGTATGAGCAATGTTGGTAACGGTGCCACATCACAGAGAAGAAAAGACGATGCTCTCAATGCCATTGTAGGGATGGTGTTTATCCATGAACATGCTGTCATGATCTGCCAAAGAAAGAAGACCTTACTCTCAAAATGTGTCATTGCCTTTTGTTACTATCATCACAGGAAATAAAATAACATGCAAAAACGGGAGGGTAGGGTGGTGTTTGGGTCGTGGTAACGGCATTTTCCGAAGTTAGGTGACAAAAACGCGAGACCACACCAAAGCTCTAAGGCTACTAGGTATGTGCAACATGTTAATGCATGTTATCGTACCAAAAAAGTATCACATCATATCTCATATCACCTATGGTGTTACAAAGGAAATAAGCAACATGTTATAACATCCATTAATTTATATGTTGTCATGTATTTTTTCCTTTCTTTATTTATTTATTTTTTAATATTTATAAAAAAATTAGTTTAATAAAGCATGTTATTTAAATAAAACCTAATTTTCATACCATCTAAATTTCTAAAAAAAACATTACAACAAAAAACAAATAACATTTAAAAACAAAAAAAAATACATTTTTTTTCTAAATTATTCATCTTGGTTACCATCGTAATATAACTTGTCAAGTCTTTCAAAATTGTTTGTGTTTTCATGTATCTTGAATATCAAAGAATCTATGTAAATATCATGTTGTACGTGGGTTCCGTAACCGAAGACTCCGCAGTCTTTCATCATTTATCTTCAATCACTATGTTATGCATTATGGTAAATTCATACATAATATTTCGTAGACTTTCTAACTAATATGTCTGTGTTGTGTGTTCAACTATGTGAGTTTCGTCTTTAGAACTCCAAAAACACGTTCCACATCCTTACGTGTTCATTCTTGTATTCTCTTGAAAATTTTGTCTCTTTGTTTTAAATGGGTTTCGAAACGCCTTTACGGATGTGAAATATGCTTGATATATTCTATTTGTAAGATAATATCCAAACTTTTATTCATTTTTATTCAGTTTAAAAGGAGCATCCGATGCATTTTCTGACAAAAGATTGTCGAATGTTGGTGACCGATCAAGGACAATGATGGCGTTGTTAGAACCCGCAACCCCAAAAAAAGCATGCTAAATCCATAAATCCTAGGAAACAACAACCTCTAATACCAACAAAGACGCTCCATGATGACCACTTGCATACTGACATTTCCATGTCACAAGACAATTTCTCCAGTTCCGGTGTGTGCGATCAATGCTTCCAAGCATACCCGAAAACCATTTCTTTTTTCATGTGCCACATATAGTTGTTGCATATCATTTAACGAATGTTTCTGCAAATAAAATCACCGAAGGTTTCGACAACACCTTTTACCAATTTATACAAACTTTCTTTTGCAGTTCTCTCAAATATTCTCATGTGTAAGGTTAAAGGATATTTTTCGACGTACCTTTTCTCTCACTTTTAGGTTTCTTTATTGAACATCCTCCGTACTTCCTCTATCGTAGGACTCGTTGCCTTTCGTCCTTCCTACGGGGTCTCGTCCCATCACATTTAATGTTTAGGGTTGGAAGTATTATAAGACTAATGGTAACAACATCACTCACCAGTTTCTCTACTAGGAAATAAGTGTACCTTTATCATATTCATTTACAAAAATCTGATCTGCCAATCAATCCGGGAAGTTAGTCGGCCCTTATCATATCTCATTAAGTCTCCCAATATGAATCGAGAAGAATTTAATCGTGTACCGATTTAGATTAGTATCAATGTTATCGAAAGTCCATCATTCTTGATCTACATAGGATAACATTGGGGGCTGTGACATGTCTTGGGACATGAAAGCTCTGAAGCCCTATTATCCGCACCAATGTCTTAGTACCGGATGTTGTTGAAGAACCCACGTAAAGAAGAAGACTTTAGAGCGTTTTTTATCTAATGATAGAAACCCTTTTCTTGATGATTTTGAATTTCAACATTAAAGACTCCAATATACACCCTTTGTCCCTTCTTCGTGTAGCCGGCAATACGGTTACCAGATTCTAATACAAAAAGTCAACACATAAATATTGGTACTATGGTAACAAAAATCAATTTAGGACTAATTTGGATAAAGGTGTAAAACTTATATGGATTTTATGATTATAATTTATAACCCTATAAAAATTAAAAGTCACTTGAAAACTACTTATTTTTATGAGATTATCTACATTTGATTCGTATTCATTTGCCGTGAAATTGAATTCCTTCTGTAACCTAATAAAACTGTACAACTAATTTCCACAAGGATTTCGAAGATAGAAATGGTGTCTTCGCATATCCTCCCTTCGTTATCTTCCCTCCACTACCCGAAATTCACTCTCAATTCCACGAGTTCATCACACACGCTAGCTTTCAACAATACCTGTTATAAACCCATCATAAAACCCCCCAAATTTCTAGGCTTTAGTAACCCTCCAAACCATAGAACTCACTTTCGCAAGCTAATTTGCCATGGAATTAAAGACCCAGCCAAGGAATTGAAGGTGGATTTGGATTTAGACGGTGGAGATGGCGGTGGTGGTGGAGACGGCGGAGGAGACGGAGGAGATGAGAATGAAGAGAAGAAAGGTGGGTTTTTACCAGATTGGGTGGACTTCACCTCCGATGATGCTAAAACGGTTTTCGCCGCGCTTGCAGTTTCTCTTGCGTTTCGATCGTTTATAGCTGAGCCCAGATTCATTCCTTCATTATCTATGTATCCCACATTTGATGTAGGAGATAGAATCGTCGCTGAAAAGGTAAACTTTTTGCTTAATTTACGTTTCAAGCTATTGTTGTTGTTCAATTTGATAACCGGGTTTCATGTTTAGACGATTAATCTTTCTATTCGATTCCTCATTTGAAAATTTCTTGATTTCTGATATGATTTCAGGTTAGCTACTATTTTAGAAAGCCATGCCCAAATGATATTGTGATCTTTAAAAGCCCTCCAGTCCTTCAAGAGGTTGGATATACGGATGATGATGTGTTCATTAAACGAGTTGTTGCAAAGGCAGGAGATTTGGTTGAGGTGAGTTTCTTGCTTCATCCCCACAAATATCATATAATTTGATGCAACTCTTTTTATGTCGTTATATACTTATATCATATGCACTTGTACTTTGATGCAAATTAGCACCTTTTCAATACAAGAAGTAGCAACACACTTTCACTTTTATTAATTTGGTCATTGGAGTTTGAAAATGGTTAAAATTGAAAGTAGTACGTTATAATAAACAATCAAAAAGTACATTGCTATAACCCAACAACATTTGCAAACTTTTGCATCACAGGTACACAATGGGAAGCTAATAGTAAACGGGGTACCCAGAAATGAAGACTTCACTCTTGAAGCACCCAAATATGAAATGAATCAAATTGTATGTAAACTGTAAAAATCTTTTATGATGAAACCCTAATCTTGAAATCATGCTAAATCTGCTTCATTTATTTATTTTGTATTGCAGCGTGTACCCGAGAATTATGTTTTTGTGATGGGTGACAATCGTAATAACAGCTATGATTCACATGTGTGGTAAGTTTTCTCATTTTTCTCATTTTATAGAAACTTATATAATTTAACAAAAACTTGTTCATTGTATAAACAAGTCATGTCTGTAGCTTAAAATTAGAAATTAGAAGTTTAGAACCACCTCAACAATCTATTGATTTCTATTTACCAATTTAAGTTTTTTGTTTTGGTAATGAATAATGATCCTCAAAATTTTTATTATTATTTTCTTTTGTGTTTTTATTGCATTAGGGGACCACTACCTTCAAAAAACATAATTGGGAGATCAGTATTGCGGTATTGGCCGCCAGCGAGGATAGGCGGCACAATCCTACCTGGCGGCTGTGCCACTGACAAGCCGGAGAATATCATCAGCACTACTAGTACTAGTTTACAACCACCTCAACAAGATTCTTCCACTTCTTTAGCGTCTCAATAGGCATTTCATGGTGACTTTTGATTCTCAACAGCTTCTTCATCATGTTTATTTGCTACAAATGATGTTAAAGACTTAAAAATTGTTATATTATGAAATATATTAGCTTCTGAACACCAATACGACAATGAGACTACAAAGGAGTATCATTTTTTTTAACAAGTAGGAAACCACAGTAGGAGAAAAAAACATCTGTTGATTAAAAGAAAGGATCCTCTAATCTTAACACATGTCAAAGTAAAAGTGTTGGGATTGGAAAACATGTCAAAATAGGATTGTTAGAGTAGGAAAACATTGTAAGTATACCCGATGTTTACTCTTTGAATAATGGAGATTATCTAAAACTCAAAGTCACACCTCCTAAATAGTTTTCAAACCAAAAGATACAAATATTGTTGGGAAAGAAGCTTAAAACAAAAAATAAGACCATTTTGTCATCACAGACTTCGAAGGAATTAGAATGTATATTTTGTATAAAAATTGGTTTGGTTGACAAAATCAAAGTAATTAGAATTCTTTAAATTTCAGTAAATTTCACGCTTGAAGGAATTTGTCATTCTTTAGTTAAGGGTAAAGATTTTATAATTTTTGTATGTTTTATTAAAAGACAAAAATGCTCTCCCACCCTCTCTTTATTTTAGCTATGATTCATTAAATGATTATCATCATCTCTCCTACACCTCACCTACCCACAACTATATCCATACAACCGACTCTCCCACCCCTCCACATACCTCCACCCATACACCTACACTTGTGCCTCCATGTGTACCCAACCTACCTTCACATACTCACCCCTATGCCTACGTATACACCTACCCACTCCACTCATACCACCTACCTACACGAAAATGACTCATGTCCTTAAAGGGTTTTATGTACTCTGACAATGTGAAATCCTAGGATTTACTGAAGTTATCTTTCGTTTCAACAACAATGGGAGAACCGATAAACACAAAGCTTCCCTGGTGCTTATCTGCACGGTCAAACACCGACATCAACCCTGCAAAAATAAAAATCTTCTCAGCTCCAAATGACTGATACGGCATGCGAAATGCGCCTAAAACATGTGGTATTTTGTGAACCACGTGTCTTGCTTCTATGGCTCGGCTAGGCACGCATGTGGGCTTGACCCAACCCTAAACCTCTATTAAAATCTTTAAAGGCCTAAGGTTAGAAAAGCCTTATAAACCCACAAAAGATTCTTCTTCGCACATATGTGGGACAAAGGTAATTTACCAACTTGTAAATTTAACCACTTAAATTTCCAGCAATCCACCACCAAGTTGATAAGTTTCGTTTCATATAGACAGATAATGTCACTTGGGTGTCATGTAGATTAAACCCTCATTTAATATGGACAAACAATAAGAGACTGTTTTTTCAATTTTGACGTTTGAAAGTGTTTTTTAAACTTAGATTTGGTTGTATTCACATCCCTAAGATGATGTTTATCATATATGAGACCTTACATATTAACTAACAAATGCACTAGAAAATACACACATATATGTTCATTTCATACTTCAATTGATTCTCATTTAGGCATCATACTTATTATGATATATGTAGGTAGTGTACTTTCATTACCTAGTATTTCTACTAATCTTTAGTATTTATGATACACGTACCTACTATCTTAGAATGCATATTATCATAAAATACATTACAAAGTATGGGATTCTTTCATAATGATATACTTCGCACATTTCCTATTCAGGCAACATACTTCTATTTCTTTGATGCCTTAACATCTAAACTCCATTTCCTTACTTACTCACCACCCAACCTAATTGCCAATACCATATCCTTATATTGGCTAGTTCTATATAGTTTTGGTACACATGTAGTCCTGTTAAGGCACAAAGTGCAACGTTTCGATATATGACTCTTGCAATGGGTTGCATTATAATCAATGTCTACTCAATTAGTCAATTGTCTTGTTTATGTCGTGGGATGTATTAGTTTCTTGAGAACCAAGCTAATGTTGTATGTTTTATGAAATTAATATAATGTATCATTTCTAGTACAAAAAAATTTAGGAGTAGTAAAACTTTGAGTATGTTTTAGGCAACTTCTAAGTTGATGACTTGTTTATTTTTTTTTCGAAAATTTGTAGTTTTACATATGTAACTCATCATAAATAAAAAAATAAACTAAGGTAACACATTTTAGATATATAAAGTGAAATTCTTCCTTTACAAATGATGCAAGATCCAAGAGAAACGATTGTGGTTTATCACACCCAAAATCTACCAAATAGGAAACGATGTAACTAGAATTACTCATTTGCTAGTGATGTCTATAAAATAAGAGAAAACATAAAAGCAACTTTTGATCTTGATTTTCATTTCACGTATACGAACATGATTCCCTCTTAAAGTCTATAACTTTATTATTCTCAGAGTCAATTTCCATGATGCAAAATACTTGACGCCGATGCTTTGTCTTTACCAACCACCCCACCAAGTTGGCATGTGAACGAATCTCAAACTCTAACTTCAATGGGACACTATTGTTGTTGTTTGACGTAGCTAAACGTATACCAGCTCCATAGAGAGGAACCTTACGACCTTCAACATTCACTGACATTGTCCTTTGGCTTTTCTTCGGTTGATAATAGTTCACAAACTAATGATAACAAAAAGAATACAGCATTGTAAATTGAAAGGTTTCAAGGTTAAAATTATCCCATGAAGAAAATCAAGGGCTTGAAGAGCTAATTACCTGACCACTTCCTACCACGATTTGTGAATAGAAGAGATTTAAAGAACTTGAAGAGACATGGATGCCAAAAAAGGTGGCAGGGTTTTCTATGTTCATCTTCACCGTGCAATTTACAGTCAAGAACTTGGTTGGAACTCCGGTGTGATCCGTTCCTTCTCCATAATAGAAATTGTTCACCTTCCAACTCTACAAAACCATAATGTTGATGATTCATGTCACAAAGGTAAAAACTCATGTTATATAAATGATTAATTTCACGAAAAATAACCTCACCCACTATATAGCTGCAACCAAATATTGTTATCACAAATCACAATATTCAAAATTGTCAGGTATGTCTATTTGCTATTATTTGAAAGATAAAAACACCGTTATACATTTTATTCTTTTTAACTACACGCTTGGACAAAAACACCAATAAATCAAATGTTATGTGAATTTGCAATCGTGTCAACTATAATATTTTCGTCTATTAAAAAAACTATTGAAATTCTTTATGGAAATTTGTTATTACATAATCATCTTGTACCAAATTAATTAATTAGTTGTTTTGATCAAAATTGAGTAAATATGATATAACTCGACATTCTAATAAAAGTATAATAACATCGTAAATAATTCAAAATAATTATTTCCAATATATATTTGTAAGAACATGTGAAAGTATAATATTAACATAGATTAATAATTAGATTACAAGAATATATCTAAGATAAACTATTTTTAGTGGATATGTTAGAAAGAAAATGTGAAAGTAAAATGACTTTGCTAGCACACACATCATGACATCATTATAAAATTTGTGATTATATATTGTAAAAATATGTGTAATAAACTCAAGTATTTTGATTTTTGAGTATATATATTTATTTATATACGATAAAGTTACCTTCATATGAACTTGAAGCTTGTAAGGCCTACTCGCACCCCATGTGACGAAACAGATCGCCGTAAAACTCATTACCAATCCCATCAATACCATCATAATCCGACATTGTCGCATGAATTCTTTATCTCGGAAGTAATCATCGTCCTCATAATCTTCATTTTCCTCGTCAATCACACTGAACAACGGCGGCCACCCTTTCCTCTTCCTAAAAGAGGAATGGACGCGGTGTTTTCCGGTCACCGCAAAAGCTCGATAGGGGCCGGAAACTCTACTGGCGCTGGAGGAAGACGGTCGTGAGTGTGAAGGATGCGACGGCGAGTCATTCGGAGAGCTGTGAGTCGGAGTTGTTTGACTGTTGGTTGAGGATTTGTTATCAACATCATCATGCGAATCGCGAGATGGACTTTGAACGTAGTAATTATACGACGTCGTCGGAGATCGATCTCGTTTCGGCGACGTTGATGACGACGTGCTGCTGCCGCCGAGACTTGTTACATCGCTTTCCAACTTCTCGGTGCTCATTTTCTTGTGTGTGTGGTGGCCGGATTCAATGGCTAACAGAAATTGAGGGAGAAATCTTCATCGGATTCGATTCGATTTGATGGAGAAACGAGAAAACCCACACAGATTTGAAGGTGTTTAGGAGAGATTAAGAAGCGATGATGGCGGAAATGGAAAGAGACCGTTTCATGTGGGCAGAGAATGTCGAAGGTGACGGATGCGTGTGTGTTGGTTCTATCGGGATCATGGAACCTTAAACAAAACATGTGTCAGTACTAGGAAGTGAAATTTCGGCTGAGTTTATTAATGGGCCCAGGCCCAAGAAAGATAACTAAAATATATAGAGTTATTTTATTTAAAAACGAGTTAAAATCGGGTTTAGGAAATTAGGAATTTAATTGTTAGTACTAGTTGAAAAGCTGTTAAAATTTATTGGTATTAATAAGTTAATTAATAAAAAATAATATTTGATAAAACTATCGAAAAAAATAGAAAACTAACTTACAACTATTTTCATGGCTTTTTAAAAATATATCAACTTTAAAAATAATAAAACTTGAAAAATAAGCTAGTTGTGACTCTTTGAAATTGTCAATAAATAAAGTGTCTATAACTTTATAAATTCTTTGTATTAAAGTTTAATATAGTTTTACAATAATTTTTGTTATAGCACATATATAAATAATAATTAGGGGCGTACATCAAACCGTCCAAACCACATAAACCGTTCGCAACACACCAAACCGCACCGCATAGCATGGTTTAGAATTTTTGTGGTGTGGTTTGCGGTTTCTAATTTTCTAAACCGCACTACATGGTGCGGTTTGCGGTTTTAACTATAAAACTGCGGTTCAAACTGCACCGTGTGTGTGTGTGTGTATATATATATATATATATATATATATATATATATATATATATATATATATATATATATATATACACATACACACACTCGGATTCGGTAATTCATATAGAAATATTTTTAGAAAAATTATATATGTCAAAATCATAAGTTAAAAGCTTAAGTTGATTGAAATATATAATAAATTAGATACATGTGAATAAACAAAAACTGAAAAACACATAATGGTCTCACTTCTTGAACAATTACTGAAAACTTAAGATATATATGTAGTAATAATCACATGTGTGTGTCTTAAGATATATGGGTAGTAATAATCACATGTGTGTGTTTGTTTTAAATAATAAATTGTTAAGTATATTATACATATTAATCACCGAGTTGACCGGATTTAACAACACTGCTCACTTCAATAAGGGGTCGATCGGGAAGTACTTGAAATTCTATAACTCGTATTGGTAAGGGGCCGAGTAGCGAGTACTCGAATGAGTAATCGGCCAACTCGGCGAATTTTACAACACTATATATATATATATATATATATATTATATATATATATATATATATATATATATATATATATATATATATATATATATATATATAAAAAGAAGTTTGTTTATTTAGTTTTATAAATAGAATTAGCATTGGGTGATTTTTGGTAACGAATTACAATTAAAGTTATTAAGAATTCATACTGAAAATGACATAATTATATGAGTTGCTGACTTACTATTATGCCGACCATGGAATCAAGAAATACAGTTACATTATATATGAAATTAATTAACTAAAGTATTAAACTTATACAAAAATAGATACTCTCAAATTCCTTTTTATGGGTTCTTTTTATCCGTTTTATATCACAAAAGGACCAAACCAACCTATATTTTCGGTTTTTTAAAAAGCTATACTGAAATCATCAAAATGTTCTTGTTTGTGAAAGTTATTAAGTAAACAACCGCACAAACTGCATGTTTATATCTCCAATAATAACTATTTGAATTCGAAAAAAAAAAGGACAAGGAAATGAGTTGGCAGGTCCGAAGGACCACCACAACCCCTAAAAATAGTTATGGACTTTTGGACTTTTTACCAATTTGAATTTCGAAACCCTCCTTTACAACTATAAAGAATTTAAGAATTTCCAACGTTTAGTTCTATTTTTCGGCGCATTATCCTTTGTTTAAAAATTTTCAAATTAGATCAAAATAAATTGATCAAATTTGATTTTGTATTGCGCCAATAACGGAAGCAAACAATGATCCTAATGAAATTCTCAAGAAGAATTAACAATACGGCCAAAAGAGATCTCTTAATTCTTGATGGACATTTACATAAATTCAAAACTTGAGACTTTTTTCCCTATTTAAAGAAAAGGTCCCTAAGGTTAACCCTTATTATCATAGTTGTCCCCTAGACTTGGAGGTTTAACCTAGTTTTTACCTACAATCTACATTTTGGCTTACAAACTTAGCCCAACAGATCACAATTGAAAAGTCAAACATATTTACTAAACTCAAACTCGAAAACAAAAACAATGGATAGTAAACCTATATGCAACTTCGGGTAACCAAAATGAACATCTATAAGTTCAACAACTTCTTCTTCATCTCTACCAAACATTTAACATCTATATCATGCTTATCAGACTGTGTGCAACCCCATATATATATATATATATATATATATATATATATATATATATATATATATATATATATATATATAATATATATATATATATATATATATATATATACCTGTGCTTTGAAGAATGCTCTAAACCATACACATACCTACAATGTCGACCATGCGATCCTCTATTGGATAAACCAAAATCCCCACTAGTTGAGCCCTACCATCTTGCTAAACATATAAGCCACATATCACACCAAAACATTCGGTTTTAATATCATTTTAAATAAATTTTGAAAGCCACTTTTCAAATTGTGAAAACCCTTTAAACGAATATAAAAAATATCTTTGTAGTTAATCCTTACCGTTCGATTAAATATTTTTTTTGAAAGACAAACTAATTTACTCATAATCTACACCTTAATACTATCCATATGGTTATGTCTCAAATGAGGCTTAAACCTCAACATCCTCTAAAATCCTCTAAAAAGGGAGGACACAAATCGCACCTAAGCATTTGAAATAAAGCCCTTCAAATAAATTTTGCAATCCATTCTTCAAAATCTAAAAGCCCCTTAATTAAATATAAAAATTATATGTTGTTTTGTATATCAATATACTATTTAAGTGTTCAACACCACATAATTGCTTAAGAAGGTTTACGTGATCATTGACAGGTTGAATATTTAAATATCACCTAAAGATTGATTTGATCAAGTCCCCCATTTCTTAGCCTCTTTTTTAAACTCAACATTATTAACTATTACCCGATATA